ATATATATATCATACCATTCAATGTAATGAAAAGCTTTTTAACCCTTTGATTGCCACGCCGGAATCATATGTTTTGCCTAGGACACCATGGCATTATTTTTATTATTCAAAGAATATAATAGTAAAATAATAATAAATTGATGTTAATACAAAATTTCAATTGTTCAATAGGACACTTTTTATTTCAAAATATCTTCTATATATCAGTTATATTTAAATACACTAACTTTCAATTTTCATTTAGTTTTTTTACAATTGTAAAAGGTTCATACGTTCCGGCCACCAATGACCACCGTGGCAGTCAAAGTGTTAAAGTATTAAAATTCACACGATAACGTTAGAAATAAAATTATTAAATAATTTAATATATGTAGTTACTATTACCAGTCTTTACGTGTCGAAGGACGGAAGAGGAATGAGATAAGTTACTATGTTTATCCTTGGTAGTGTCAAGCGCTCGGTGCTCGGCTGTTTTCATTTTGTTTTCTTCTTGAGAATACCTTAACAACATACATATACATTCTGTCATTACCTGTAGATCTGATGTTTCATTTATAAGTACTTCTTTCTTTCTCATTCTCTGTCTCATTCATTCTCTCTCTACGTTTTATACATATAACTGTCCAAAGCAAAAGAGATATACATGCTTCGCGAATATAAAGAAGATAAAAAAGTTATCACGATAATAAGATTAGGTATATGTATTCATAAAGGACACTTCCAATATTGGTAAACCTAAAAAGTGTAAAAAAATAAAATTCATTAGTATAATATAAAGAAAATCAAACATACAAAATACGATCTATAAAGACATTATGATGAAAAATAATTTGTTAGATCATCATTAGTGCTTTATTAGAGATGACAGTGAGTATCGATACCGTGAAAATAACCTATAAAAGTGGAACAATATTATTTTGTAACTACGTCATTGCAATTTGATGGTAAGCCGAAAAATAGCGTTTTTATTTTCACAGATATCTTTCGAACTTTTCAATTCTCTATTTTACAAACACTCACGTATGGAAATCGTGTGTATAGCTATTGTTTCATATACAAAAGGAATTTCATTATATTCGTTATATTCGTTATATATATATTATAATGTTTTTATGAGAAAAAATTTATTAATTTTGATTATAAATTCCACAGGATTTATGAATTGAAGATAAATGTCGTGTTTGATTTCATTTCCAAATTTTGTTCTCAATGGGAAGAAAAGTCAAATTTTTAATCTTTCATCGATTTTTATTCGAGACCTTTGTTATATGTTCTAACATCATCTGATATTAATCTTTTCAAATGTACTATTAGTCTGCATTCTGTTGAATTAACTTGTTTGCTAAGTACTATGCATCTTTAACGTCAATTTTTATCCCTGAAAAAATATTTTTAACGATTTGTTTCTAATAGTCGCAATATGTAACCCCCAAACGAGAACTAACACAGTGCAATTTTTCGCGAGCCTGTAGTATTTTTCTGTGGCAATGTGCTTTATCGTTCGTAAAAGATTACCTCAATAGAAGGAAAATACATCAGAATAAATTGCACGTCGTGTTCTTTAACAATATCAGTATGTTACTTGTTATTACAGAGAAGCATTTAATTTTGTGTCGTTGTTGTTGTTACCTTCGTCATCGTCGTCGTCGTCGTTTACTTTTTAAGTACTCATCTCACGTTAAAGAGATATTATGCAATGTCAACAGATTTCGCAAAGAACGTAATTAACGAGCGCTTGTCGTTACTTTAGGAGCTACTCGTGTTTTTCGTCATTACGCGTTACAGCTAAAAAGGGCGTGAAAGAAAGAATCGATAAGAACGAAGTTTTATGAGTTACATAATTGAAGAAGAAATATCTAAATTTATAATTACCTTATATCTAATTTATATATATTATGTAAATAAATAAACAGAATAAAAGATATAGTATATTTATCGACAAACTTTGTGTATCGGTTTTGTTTAGCCAAAAGTGATTAACTAAATTTTATGCTAATCCGATTTATTGCTCGTCAAACAAAGGAAAAATCACGTTTGTGCAAAGTGTGTTTTTTGTTAATGTTTTCATACTCCACTATTGATATTTTATATACAGGAAAGACCACTTTTCCTGGATTGTTTATGAAATTTTAAGCAATATAAGTTAATTAGTAACTTTAGATCATTATTATAATTAGTGACTTTTGGTTGAACATCGACGAAATTTAAAATTTATTTTTTTCACCATAGCTATTAATAATAACTTTCAGAATATATTTTATTAATTGTAAGAAGTATTTATGACTTTTTATTGGTAAATCTTAACACAAAGTGATTTATTTTTAAATGCTTTACCCTGTATACGAATCCATATTGAGGAAATCAAGCGTGAAGAAAACAACGAATGAGAAAATTTGTCGTTCGACTAAAATGCATCTGGTAAGAGTTGCGATCCGATAATTTAAAACGTGCCCTATCTACGGTATTTATGTTGTTGCAATATCGTAACGCCCAATGTTATTGCCGAACGTCGGTGATAGTAAATCCATTGGTTCAGCAATATCGCTTCCACCATGCTTGTATTCGCACACACGAGAGAGAGAAAGAGAGAAAAGGGAAGAGAATATGTGGCTGCTACCGTTTACGATTTTAATTTTCCTCCTCCATGCAAGATGACCGCGAGGATATAAATCGAAAGTAAATCGTTAAACCAATTTACGCGTTTTTAATTTTCGCATGACAGCTTTTGTTTGAAATAAAAATTTACGTAACGGTCCTTTTCATTTCGAGTTTTTGGTCGCCTAGGGTTGTGAGGATCAAACAATAGTATAAAATTAAAACGGCCAATTTTTCCGACATAAATCGTTTATTTATACTGTCACTAGCAGAGGGATATTTTTTTGTTCTATTTTTTTTTTGTAAATGAGATTTTTTTCTTCTTTTGATATTTTCCAAAAAGTATTTTTCGATTATCAAAAATATTATACATATTATAAATAAATCTTATATATAATAGTGCCTTAAACGAAATCCACTGAAGTTTAGGCACACTGTAGTTGAATCACATCAATTTTTTTATGTTCTCTTTTATCACAAATTTGACCCGTTTTATCGTGATTAATAATACAAAGGTTGGTAGGTAGGTAGGAAGGTAGGTAGGTAGATAGATATAAGTATTACAGGTATACGCGGGTGTGAGATGTATCATCTTAAGTGTAGTTATCACGAAGAGACCGTCCTCTTCTCCCTCCTTTCTCCTTCTTATCAGTCCGGTATTAAAGCTCGATAGTAGAAGCTGATCCCATTCTTAAAGATCCTTAGAATTTTTATCTCGAAGAAGAGAAAGAATCGATAATGATATGTCATCGAAGTATCGTTCTTCTATCGTCATCGAAGAATGTAACGATCTTCGCATACACAAACTTTTTTTTCCTTCTTCATTTAAAACTTAGAATTCTATAATGCTAGTTTGATCTTCAAACACACTGTTGGTGTCTTCCAAACGATTCAAACGTTTCTTCGATTTTTTAAATTTTATTTTCTATTTATAAACATACAACATTTATATTTTTTAGTTGTATGCAAATGTGTCAGGAAATTGCTAATGTTGTTACGTGTTTCTTCTTTTTTTCTCTTTCTGTCGTTTCAATACTTGCTTAATCCACGTTCTTGTTTCATAATCTCTTGGACGATGTTTATCTCAAGAAGCTCAAAAGGGGGAGATTGGAACGTTTCTTCAGCAATGACGACGTGTTGAAATCCATCTGGTCGATTAAGTGCACTTATAATCTTGGGTAAACCGATGATTTCGAATCGATTGGTAGATATCCCGTGTACTTTTACCACCAGCCTGTAAATAAATAATTTTTGTTTTCAGTCGATAGATATTTTTCTCTTTTATAACATCTGACAGATAAATAATATCAGAAAATAATTTTGAAATATAATCGTTTTATTTTCTACTTCGATTAAATCATGAAAACCCATAAGGCCTTTTTAGAAAAGTATATAAAAATATAACTCTCGTTTCTTGTGAATTCATACATAACTTCTTTATTCCCTAAAACTACTAGTTTAATTGTATAATAAAATTCCTTATATTCTTTTTATCTTCCCTAAAAAAAAGTCTAGTAATTTTAGTTAAAACCTAGAATATTTACGATTTAAATGAATACAATTATACAATTTAACGTTGACATATTATAATCAAAAAGTGTCAAAGATAAAAAAGAAATCTATAATATTAATAATGAATAAGTTCATATTTAAATTTGTCATTGTGAAAGTTTCTATGCAAATTCATAAGAAATGAATATTTTAATGATTACCTCCACCACCGCCTCCAGACCATCCTCCACCACCTCCGGACCATCCGCTGCCACCACCACCAGACCATCCACCGCCACCTCCTCCTAATTTCCATCCACCTCCGCCACCACTACCTCCTCCTCCGTATTTCCAACCTCCACCACCACCACCTCCACTTGGCCATCCGCCGCCCCCACCGCTGATGGTGATCACTTTGATGATTTTACCACCTCCACCTCCACCTCCACCGCCACCACCTCCGTATTTCCAACCACTTCCTCCACCACCACCACCAGACCAGCCTCCACCTCCACCTCCGCCAGACCAGCCACCACCTCCGCCAGACCAGCCTCCACTGCTTATGTAACCGCCTGTTAACAGAGAATAAAAAAAAATTAGGAATGTGTGGTCCGAGAATTACGCCAATGACGACTTTCATTCTTCGTGCTGTGCAAAAACCAGTGCCGTCAGAGACCGAGTCATAACGTGTTTCCGATACATCTTTCGCTAAGGAAGTTCATTTGAAATTCTTATTAAATGTCACTGAATAATTTTTTTTTTTTTAACGAAGAAAGTAATGTGTGATTTATTTTCTTTCCTTTTCTTTTTTTTTTTTAACTGGAGAAAAAAAAATACATAAAATAAATTTTTAGAATAAAAATAGTAAAAGTATAAACGTATACATATATGGTAACGATAAACAACGAAAAAGTATAGAAGATATAGAAAGTAACTTATATGAGACCGGATCGTTTTATTTTTTCATTTTTATTTTCATTTTCATTAATTAGCTTCATCTCGTATCATAGTTCGGCTCGTTACTCTTCGAATTACGAATTACACGTTCGCATTTAACCGTCGACAGAAACAACGATTTGCGTTCATTCCGTAGGATTAGTGGCGAGCGAGTCTGTTTTAATCCCGTGCGATCGCTTACTATTAAACGTGGTTATTCTAGTACAATTGAGACGTATACTATCAAGTTAGCATTTCATTTGATACCAAATTTGATTTTATTAATTGTCAATTATTTATTTCGCGTTGTTATATATTGCTGGTAAAAAAAAAAAAAAAACAACAAAGAATTAATTAATTAAATTTACGATGAGAAGAAATCCAAAATTCTTCATGCTGCAATTAATTTCAATTATTTATTTGAATATACGAATATCTTCATTCAACACACACACACAGAAAAATCCTTTTGAAATAGTTTTTTTTCTCCCGTATTATACGAAATTTTTAGTCAGTCAGTCTCATTACTCACCGTTAGAGAAATAAAGTAGGAAGGGTAAAAAAAATAATCCATTAAACTTATACTCACCATAGGCGGTAGCGAGGCACGCCAATAGGAGCGTAATCACGAACACCTGCAAGGAGAATCAGAAAAAATGCATGAGTACATCTTTCTCACACCGATGCCTCTCTCTTCATCTTCATCGTCATAATCATCATCATCATCCTCGTTGTCTCGAAAAGGACCGATGGGAAAAGAATGAGAATGAGAGAGACCAAGAGGGAGAATTTTAGATGGTAAAAGAAAAAAAGAGAGAGATAGTGACCAAATAAGAGCGAGAGTAAGCAAAAGAAAGAAAAAAAGAAAGAAAGAAAGAAAAAAAGAGAAACAAAAAAATCGAGCTCACGCACGAACTTGTCTCTTGTACGTACCTTCATGTCGAGGTGTTTGATGCCCATCGTCGAGAACGGTGCCTCTTTTATAGCTCTCTCGCCTTTCTTCAGCTTGATCCCCGCCCTTCTTGTCTCTCTACGACTTCGTCTTCTTCCTTCTGCTTCACGAAGCTTAACTTTCGTACTACCACCACTATCTCGGCATCACCATCACCATCACCACTACCACTACCATTATCGGTATCGCATCTCAACAAAAATCTCCTCCCTACTCGCGATCCTCTCTCTCTCTCTCTCTCTTCTTTTCCCTTCTTTTTTTTTCTCTTCTTCCTACACTACCTCCTGATCATATTCCTTCTTCCATATAGATATATGTCTACATTAGTGGAATAATCATAACCTCTGATCATGTATTTCTCGAGGTCGACCCCCTCGCGTTATTCCTTCGGTTACAGGGTCGCAATTTTCCCCCCTACCAAAAGAAAAATATACAGACTCGTAGTCTGTCAAAATCGAGAATGATGATGATGATGATGACGATGATGATGATGATGATGACGAAGAAGAAGATGTGGAAATTGTGCGACCTCATTGCTGGGAAACAACAAACGAGATGATTCATCGCGATGATAATCTTTCAATGCTCGCTCCGAAGGAAACTTTTTTTTTTTACTATTGCCGAATCTCTCGAAAATGCAATCAACGTGATTTTATTTCTTTCTTTTCTGCTTCTTCTTCTTCTTCTTCTTCCTCCTTTTTTTTCTATCAATAATACATGGAAGAAAATTTGTGGGAATGATATTCGCTGTGGTTGGTCCTCATAGTTCTACACAGTGCGTATAAAAGTCAGGCGCGTATTTGCGGCCACGTTTGATCGTTAACCGGCCAGGTCGCCTTTTTTTTTTATTTTACGAGAGAACCCTTACGCAATCGATCGTACAATAAAGTTACGTGACGCGTAACGAGGGAAAAAATTCTACACCACGTACTCCGACTATTCGGCAGCTCTTCCATATCTAGTGGCGGCAGGCGGTGGTAAAAGGGTATCGAAATTTTCGTACGGCCTGCGGCCATCTCTCTGGGCGAGTTTTCCCTCGATTAATAGGACCCTTGACTCCTCTCCTTCCTCTACGTATAAAGTCCACAAAGTTGCATAACGAGAGATACCAACACGCACGTCCTCGCCTGCTTTTAATGGAATTTATTTATATCTACGATCAAATCGTCGATTGCGAGAATAATCGTAAGGACGGTGAATTTCAATTAACCATTTTGTAGATGATTTCTCTCTTTTTTTGATTTTTATTTTCTATTTTCTTATCTTAATGCAATGCGTTTTATTAACAAACGTCATGCGTGCTACATTGGACGATTACCAAACAACACCTAGTTCGATCAAAATTGAGAAATAATTTAATAGAATTGTTCTTCGACAAAAATCTATCTCTTTTCGTCCCCCTTTCTTCTTTTTTTTTTTAGTTTAATGCAAGAGATAAGCACAGCTGCGTAACACGCTCGCGAAACTATTGTTTCGTGTGTGCAAGACTTTACTCTCGATCCTCCACGGATAAAAAGCAATCGAGATATTCGCGAAGGTAGGGAAGGCCTCTTTGGCCTTTCACCGACTTTCAAGCATCGGATTCAAGAAGTTGATTTCATACGCAAAACGCAGAAACAGCTGCTTCTTATGTTTTTAGTATTGAAGTCTTAGCTGATTATTACCAAGAGGTAAACAACTTTGCTTCCAGATCTCACGACCTATCGATCTTTGGTGCACTTGAATGGTGAAAGTTGTTTCAATCTTTTTTCAACGTTTGTTCATGATGATTATAAAATGATAGTATGAAAACAATTCGTATACAAGATTTATATGTTACTCGTTAGAACCGAATAAAACTTAAAATTAGATGACATAACGCATTGATGTTGCATGATCAGTTATTTTAGGCTAACTATTCCTAGAAGATAGATATACTTGCATCAGTATATTCTTTACTTGTTATAATTGGATATAAATTATAAATGTAGCGTAAGTAAGAAGTTCTAACAAGAAAAAAATGTATATATCGAAGAGATAATGATCTAAATTGAAATCATGTTGTGTCTACTTTAATATGCACTACTCTCATTGACTATGTTAGTAGATACGCTGTAGTAGTGGAGTAACAAGGTGACACGGTCAAAAGGTCACGATCTTTCACACCTTGGTATGCTTGAACGGTGAAAGTTAGATAGTTTCGAGAGAGAGAGAGAGAGAGAGAGAGAGAGAGAGAGAGAGAGAGAGAGAGAGCATAGAGAGAGAGCATAGAGAGAGAGGAGGTTCAATCTTACAAACAATGGTAAAAAATGAAAAGAAAAATATATATAGAAAGACCGAATTTCTCTGCCGAAAGCGTTTTTCATCGTTAAAATGATTTCGTAAATCGTGAGTTATGATTCCTGCTGATATGACGGAAGATTGACGGAAGAGACATATATGTTATGTTTCTTTCTTCTTTTTTCTTTATTTTTCTTTCCTTTCGATATACATAGCTACACCATATCTGGTTGCACTTGACGGTGAAAGTTAAAGTGACGCGGTACATCGTACGACAAAATGAAATACATTGATTACGGATAGCTTGAGGGTGACTAGTCGAACATTAAAGTAGATTTGCAATGGTAACCTTTACGTGCTTTTGCACAGATTCTACCAACGAAGCCCTATATTCTCTTTTGAGTATGATGAAGAGATACAGAGAATGAGGAAAGGTGTTGCTTGTGATAAAGATAGAGATGGAGAATAACGTGCGTCACGTTACTCGAGTGATTTTAGTCAACGTTTATCATTATATCCACAAGCACTAATGACATTCGCTGTCATCCACTTTGAGCACGTGCCATGGTTCTCGTCACGCTCAGAACGTCCATCCGTTTCATTAATATTACGCGTACCTGTTACGCGCCTCGATGCCATATCGCACATAAACAAATCGCTTTAACATCCTTTCTCGTCTCATCGATCGGGTGTTTATCGTTTGTTTGTATTTCCCTTTTATCTTTGAAGAAAAGTTATTTCTCATTAATTAGAATTTCAATTATTTATATAAGTGTATGTAAATTTTACTTTGATAAAATAAAAATGATCTCGTGTAATTAATAATTTAAAATAATGTAACTGAGATAATACAAAAAAAGAGTTTCATTATCTAAGATAACCACGTATTATTTTTACGAAAAAAAAACTGAAAAAAGAATAGAAATAAAGGAAAGATGAAAAAAATGAAAACAAATCTGTTTCTTATTATTTTTTTTTTCAACGTCAGTGTAGACGTCTTTCAAATAAATTAGAAATAAGAATTACTACACGAATCGTGTTTAGTTCTTTTTCACTTTCAGGTGTACTGAAGTCAGGAATGATCGAAACAAGAAGAAGGGGGAAAGGAGGCGGGGGTTAACTTGTCGTTCGTAGAATTTCTTCGATATTGCTATACAGTTCATGGTCAAGAGATGAAAAACGCTCTCAACGAGATTTTTCGAGATTTATCAGAGACACTGGACAAAGAGTTAACGTCGAGAGAAGGAATATAGGAAGATGGATAGAAAAAGTGGTGGTGGGAGGTGGGGGGTCACGATGCAGTCCAAGATCGATACGGCATATCTCTTTATCTCCATCTCTATCTCACTCGTTTCTTAACATGAGTTTGATGTCTCTCGTAAAGCTCGTATCTCGTACTTGTCAAGTATACATGTATGCATGTATATATGTATGTATGTATAAGTCTAAGTCGATGGTTGCGGAAGAAAAGAAGAGGAAGATGATGTGAAGTAGTGGTGGGGTTTGGTTGAGGGTGTCCCTTTTATCGCGTTTCGATGAAAACTCGTCGTCATTCTGGTACATGACCGACGTCTACGAGAGTGATCCGATTAATCGATTTTCTCTTTCTCTTATCCTCTCTCTTTCTTCTCATTAGAAGTTCGTTGAGTATATATATATATATAATGAAACGTCGTGAATGGGATCACATCGTCGATGTGAAGGGGATCAAGAGAAGGGGTGAAAGCTACGGAAACGTTGTCTACGTCGGCACGATCCGGAAAGGCTCAGGACAAGCAACGTTACTGTTGAGAGTGTTACAGTTAATGGAAATTGGGAAACACCGTGACCATCGTGTGGACATCCACGTGCATAGGTTTTGTCCTTCTATCTTTATTTCTTTCACTTTCTCTCTTTTTATATTTCTTTTTGTGTTTTCTTTCTCTCTCTTTCTCTCTCTCACTCGCTTCATCATATAAGATCGTAAGCGCAATAAAATTTTACAATAGCTCTGTTGCGTCGAAATTCTCATTCCAAATCGAGAACGGCATGTACGACGTAACGAGCGGATTCCCCACAGTGTGAGATTATTTTCATGAATTTTATTATTACAAATTCATCATTCGAGTGTTATATAGAGATATCTATGGTAATACTCGTGTATGTGTTGAGTTATACCCATTTCCATACTCGTTGAAACGTAACTCTTATGCCTGGTTACACGTAGAGAAATTTTATTGCAATCCGTTTGTGTTTTTACATTCCAACAGTGTGGACAGCAATCGTTTACGTTCACGTTTTTCTAATTCATTCTTTTGCTACGAAAGAAAATCATGGTGATTCGCTACATTAATAGTACGAGGGTCAGTCAGTATGTGAAAGCTGTGTTCACAGTTTTATTTAGAAGATTTAAAGTCATTGTATATGTATTCAAGATTACATTTCTGATTAAATGTAAGACTATGAATTTCTTAATACTCGTTTGAGAATGTGTGTGTGTTTGTTTTTTTTTTTTAACTTTTTCTACTTGAACGGAAATTTAATAGGTAAAAAATTTTTTTATATTTATTCGTAACGAATTTCATTGGAAAAATAGAATATTTTCGTTGCTGAAATAACAGAAATATATAACCTACTTTTGAAACAAACGTTTCGATATTTATTTTTAACCTTAAATATACATTGGTATTGCGTTTATTTTAAGAATAAAAATCGATCGTGAATCGTTTTTTAAATATTTTTTATTTTTTTTTTTTTTAACATTCATCGTTTCTACATCTTTCCGGACTATCCTTGCAATGGTTTATTATA